CACTAAACCTCAAGCGGGCTTCAACCAAGACATGGCGAAATTTGAGGAACTGGCAGACGCACCGACGCAAGACGACAACGCCAGAGAAGCTCCAGAAGCCGAACCACCGCAGCCGGACGGGCGGCTTCCTACGATGTATGAGGGATCTGAGGCGGACCTTGAGGCACATCTCTTGGACGTGAAGTGCACTGAGCTACAGGGGGAACAAAGAATTGTTGGAGGCAGTTCCATTCGATTACCTTTACACTGTGCCCCCACATATGATCACTGACACAAATGCGCTGGTCACGGTAGCTGAAGAACAGCGGGGGCACCTGCCTACGTGGGGCTACCCGCGCGACTCCGACATCGCGGTGGCATATCAGGTCCCACTATGTTCCACGGACGAAGACGATACTTACGAATTGGACTCATATGACAATGGTCAGTACATAGAGCTGCTTTACTGCAGACGTGTGAAAGGTAGTCCTATCCGAATAACAGCATAGGATATTAGACTTCGACCGCGTGACCACCATGCGAGTATATGTGACCACTGCCGCAAAGCGAGCTGTGGTCGTCAAGGAGGACGACCTCCTCGCGAAGGCTGATATTCAGGCGGATCCATCCAAGGTATCAAGACATGGTTTGGCAACAAATGTTTCAAGATGCAAGATATATCGAAGGCGTCGAACATCATGACTTCGAGATGCGTATATAAGTGGAAATTCGTAATGAACGAATAGGGCGAATGGACAATCCGATAACGCCTGGTACTTTGAGGTTTCATGGGCTCCGAAGCCTACGACGTGGAAGCCTTCCCAGGGACGGCGCGGCGGTTAAGTCAGTGACTACTCGCAAGCACGGCAGCGTGCAAGAAGCAATGGATCATTGCTTCCCTTGACATCGACATGGCTTTCCTGAAGGGACTGACCTACCAGGACCATGCTGAGGCAACTGGTGAAAGGGAATGTGTGGTGTGCTGTGCGCTGCCACCTGGATTAGCATCGGTGCTTCGCTCCCTCCCAGGATTCGAGCATCACGATGAGTCGAAGCACTGCTCGCAGTGCCTCAAGCCAGGTACCGGCGCCAAGGATGCACCCAGAGCCTTCTAATTGAAACTCAGAAAGACCACGAGAGGGTTCGGTCTCATATCCAAGTCCTACGACGAGGAGTACGGGACAAGCAACGACCGTCTCGCAGCCAAGCATGCTGATGATATCCGTATGGCCAGTACTGAAGACACCATCGATAGGCACGTCAAGTGCGTTGAGGATTCTTCTGGTAAGTGTAAGCTCCTCAAACATACATATGCCAACTGTACTGCGAGGTATACCAAGGACGGGGGCGGTAACGTTGCACTCTAACATCCGCCGCTCTGCGGTTGATCGGGAGTTTCTGTATATAGAAGAAGGGGCGCGCGCTTCTGGGCGAGAGGGAAATGATCGAGAGGAGAAAGAGCCTGAGCATCAGGAGGGCGAGGCTCGCGAGGGGGCGAACCAGCGGCGAAAAGTCTGCGGAAATCGCGCGCCCCGAGAAATCTCCTCCTCCTCCTCCTCCTCCTCGCCCACCTCCTCTTCCTCCTCCTCCTCCTCCTCCTCCTCCTCATCATCATCATCATCGTCATCATCATCATCATCATCATCATCATCATCATCATCATCATCATCATCATCATCGTCCTACCGCATCCTCCTTCTTCTCCTCCTCCTCCTCCTCCTCCTCCTCCTACTCCTGTTCATCCTCTTCCTCCTCATCCTACTCCTGCTCATCCTCCTCCTCCTCCCGCACCCTGGTCCTCCTCTTCCGCCTCCTCCGCCTCCTCCTCCCTTCCTCCTCCTCCTCCTCCTCCTCCTCCTCATCCTGCTCTTCCACACACCGCATCCTCAGCCCCCGCGGCCCCAGAACGTCCCGACCCCTTCCCCAGATCCGTCTTTGCTGCGCCATGATGCCAGAACGCGGCACCGAAGCCCGAAACCGAGGAAAGCCACCAGGATTGAAAGAATCGTATCGTCGGAGATCAGGGCCCTCCGCCTCCTCCTCCTCCTGCTCGTTCTCCTCCTCCTTCTCCTCCTCCTCCTCCTCCTCCCCCTCCTCCTCCTCGTCCTCCGCATCCTCCCGTTTCTTCCTCTCTATCTCCTCCTCTTCATCTCCCTCCTCCTCCCCCATCGGCTCCTCCCCGTCCCCCTCCTCCTCCTCCTCCTCCTCCTCCTCCTCCTCCTCCCTCCTCCTCCCAATCCTCCACACCCCCCCTGCTACTGCTGCTCCTCCTCCTCCTCCTGCCTCAACCCCCGCCCCCCCACCACCTCCCCGGGAGGGCGGAAGAGGGAGGGCGGGAGGGAGGGGGGGGGGGAGGGGGAAAGGAGGGGAGGGAGAGAAGTGGAAGGGCGGGAGGGGGGGGGGGGAGGATGAAGGGAAAGGGGGAGGGAGGAGGAGGGGGCGATGACGAGGGGGCGAAGCACCGCATCCATAGCGGATGGGCCGGCACGCCCGAAAAATAGCGCAGGAGCGTGCGGTACAGATTTGAACCGGTTTCCGTGCAGCATTTGCTGTGTTGCATCGGCCCTGGAGAGTAACGGTCTGGACGGGCCGAGTCTGCCGGGGAGGGAGAAACGCAACGAATTCCCCCCCCCCCGCGAGGTAGCAGAAAAACTTTAAGACCTTTGGGCCGCAGCTAGGTGGCCGGATGGCTGTCGCCGCCGTGCGACCGTTTAGATTGCCACAGTGATTTCGTACAGGCTACTTGTCCATCTTCAACCCACCTGTGGACCTCCAGCGTCCACCAGCTCAGCACCCCGACCTCCAGACTCCAGCATCGGACTTTCCGCCTCCACCCCCGCCTATCGACTGTCCCCTCCACCCCGCCTATCGACCTCGAGCCTCCAGCATCCGAGAGCGAGAATCAGGAGAGTGAGGAACATGAGTGTGATGATCGGCGCCATGTGGGCCTGCTCCACGGGAGGAGGGATCGCGATCCTGTCGGTGACCGGGGGGACCCACTCCACAGCAGGGCGGCGATGTGGGACCTGCTCTACAGCATGTCGGGGCGCCATCCTTAGGGCGTGGAAGAACAGGCTCGGCAGAGCCGAAATTCGTGACAATTTCGTTGCTTCCGTCTGTGCTGCGCGGTGCGTGAGGCACATCGCAGCACGGCACGTGTTGCAGCATGCAGTGTGTCGCTGGCGTAATTGTCGTTGCAAGAAGCACCGCATCCATAGCGGATGGGCCGGCACGCCCAAAATGTAGCACAGGAGCGTGCGGTACAGATTTGAGCCGATTTCCGTGCAGCATTTGCTGTGTTGCATCGGCTCCTGGAGAGTAACGGTCTGAAGGGGCCGAGTCTGCCGGGGAGGGAGAAACGTAACGAATTCCCCCCCCCCGCGAGGTAGCAGAAAAACTTTAAGACCTTTGGGCCGCAGCTAGGTGGCCGGATGGCTGTCGCCGCCGTGGGACCGTTTAGATTGCCACAGTGATTGCGTACAGGCTACTTGTCCACCTCCAACCCACCTGTGGACCTCCAGCGTCCACCAGCTCAGCACCCCGACCTCCAGACTCCAGCATCGGACTTTCCGCCTCCACCCTCACCTATCGACTGTCCCCTCCACCCCGCCTATCGACCTCGAGCCTCCAGCATCCGAGAGCGAGAATCAGGAGAGTGAGGAACATGAGTGCGATGATCAGGAGGGTGAGCTTCAGGAGGGCTGGGAGGACGACGGGCCAGGAGGGCGGGGGGGGGGGGAGGGGGCAACTACGGAGCAAAGCCGGAGCACATCGCAAGGGAAAAGACGACGACAAGGGCGACGGTAACGGCCCCCCTCGGCCGCGCACATGCCGCATGCCTCGGGCCATGATTTGCAACCTCCCCTTTTCCACGCCCCTCGCTGTCAGGAAGACCGGCTCAAAACGGGTCCCTGGGGTCCAAGCGCACTGGCTTTCCGAGCGGCGTCCAGCCGCGCCGACCAAGAGGGCCTCCGAGGGCCAGGAAGCCACGATCCTCGACCCTCGAAGTTCGAACATCGACGTGAACCCGTGTCAAAATCGATGGGATCCGGTCAAAATCAGTCCCCAGACCCTTCCCGGGGCCCCCTGGACGCACATGTTCACCCCGGATCAGTTTCCGAGGGTCCCCGGGCCAAAGAAAGGGCTCCAGGAGCCGAAACGACGAAAGCCTCCTGGATCCTCGAGGTTCGAACCTCCACGGGGACCCCCTTCCATGCCCCTCTCCCGGGCGCCCCCCCCAAGTTTTCTTTCGTTCAGGGCGCCCGGATGACAGAGTGGCCAGGCCCCCCCCGGACGACGACGGCGGCGACGGCGACGACGGCGACGACGACGACGAAGACGACGACGACGGCGACGATGACGACGACGACGAGGACGACGGCGACGACGACGACCACGACCACCACGACGACGACGACGACGACGACGACGGCAGCGGCGGCGGCGGCGGCCGCAGCGACGACGACGACGACGAGGACGACGATGGCGACGACCACGGCGACGACCATGGCGACGACCATGGCGACGAGGGTGGGCGCGTCGTGCTTTGGCACAGTCATTTTCAGAAGCTCGCCCCCTGACTCCGCGTGGCAAGCCATCGTGCCGCGCGCGCAGATGAAAGGGACGCCTGCCGGGAAAGTAGCAGCACCTACAGTGGCGATCATGCTCCACACTCCTTCGTGGGCGCCTTCCGTGGTCAACAGCACTCCCAACTGGATGACCGGACGTGCGCGAGGAAGCAGCTGGGAACACTTTTGCTGGACTATGCCGCAAAGTACGCTCGTTGGGGCGTCAAGGCCTGCCGCCGAGGCGCACACCTTGAACAACTGGCAGCTCTCCCCCGAAAGCCCCAGACCCGTCTTCAAGACGGCCGCCGCGGTAAATCGAACGAATTGTTGCACGCTCACAAACTTGCCCATGGATGCGCACGGGTACTGGCCATGGCACGCCAAGAGCGTCGCCCACTTTCGCGCCGCGCACGGCAGCGCTAGGGCCGCCGAGAAGGCGAGGGGGCCCTCCTTCTGCGACTGGGTTCCGAAGCCGACGCCGGCGAACAGGTAGACCGCACCCGCAAGCACGATGGGTTTCATGAACATGAGCGAAGAACAGCCCGACGGGCAGCACCTGCTTGAAAACGGTGCCGGCCTCCAGCCCAAGTGCTTAGATTCCCCCGTCCAGGTGCGAGGAAGAATGTGAACGTCGCCTTCAAGCCGACTGCACGCAGGGCGAGGATCGCCGCCGACGCGCAGACCTTGTCGGGAGGAAGGCGCCCGAAATCCCCGGAGATTGCCCGCGACCCGGGTGCCGCGCAGGATTTGTTTGAGGCGGCCCCCGGGGCCTGGAAGCGGCCCCCAAGGGCGGAAATCACAAAAGTGTCCCCGAATATCGGCGTTTCACGGGAATCGGCACAAAAGAACCGAGGAGGAGAAGGCGGAGGAGGAGGAGGAGGGGGAGGAGGATGAGGAACAACAGCAGCAGGAGGAGCAGGAGGAGGGGGAGGAGGAGGGGGACCTCGGCCTAGACGTCAGTCCAGCCCCCGTTCCCCAAGGACTCGTGCAGTCTCCGCAGGACGGCGCGTGCTGATCGGCGGCGCGCATGCGTGTCACAAAGGCCAGATGGTGTACGTCCACCGGTGGCGGGCGATGAGCGCGCGGTATGCTGCAAAGGTCAACTCCTGGGGCCCGGCTGCCACCGAGTCCAAGAGCCAGATTCTGCCGCCAACGACCCTGAGTGCTACCCAGTGGCTGGCTTCAACCATGTTAACGATGGCGCCGACTGCAGCCGCGAGGGTGTCCGGCTCCGTGTGGAGGGGCTGCAAGGGGAACTCCCATCTGATCCGGTTCTCCTTCCGCATGGGCGTGTGCTGCAATGCCATGGCCATCGCTTCAGAGGAATACCAACCTAGGGAGGTGCCGAAAACGCACCTAGACCGGCCCTGTCCAGGCCCACCTGGAGCTATGCATGCGCCCTTCCAGCTCGGCGGAAAAGGCACGCGCAAAGCTCATGGGGCCAAGAGTGGCCGGGCCAGGGTCGGCGAAGGCGCATTGGCGGCGCCCCCCGGAAACCGCCGGGAGCTGCGTGGTCAGACCTGCGTTCATGCAGGCCTTCTGCAGCAGCTTCGCGTAGGCGCACGTTGAGCGCAAGCTGGAAGTCATGGTCGCAGAAGTAGGGCTCCCCAACAGCCATATTCAAGGCGTGCACCCCGCAAAGTGCCTGTTGTTGGCCCTCGTGGTGCATGTGCGGGGGCGGGCTCAGGAGCGCCGCCGCCAGGCCCCTGGCGTCGGGGGGCTGCGGTGCGTGAGAGCAGTCGGCGTCGTGCACAGCTGCGTCATCTTGGTATAGAAGACCGCAAAATCCCTCATCAGCTTCTGAGTCGGCGCCCTCGCCGTCGAGGCCAGGATCCGAATCAGGTACGCCGAATGCATCCTCGGCGCCCTCGCCCTGAAGGTCGGGACAAAGTTCGGGAGCGTCACGTGCGTGGTTGGCGCCCCCGCCAGCAGGGTGAAGGTCGAGGTCGCGCGCGTCCTTGTCGTCGTCGGCTCCAGGCGAGTGAACAGCATCTTGCCGGGGGCGTTTGTGTGCGAGCGCCTGGCCGGAGTCCGGCACGGGCCGCTTGCGGCCGCCCGCGGCGGTGGCGACGGGGCGCTGCCTCTTCGGAGCCGGCGGTTTCATGCCCATGGTGAGTTTCCTCCCTCCCCCGCCGCGTGGTCCGGATCGGTCGTCTCGCGGTTCATCAGCATATTCTGGAGCTGGCCGTAGGCCGCGCACGGAGAGCATCTCTCTCAAGTCCGCAGTCTCTTCGCCCGTGAGGGGCCGGCCGAGCTTGGTTTCCGACCACTGTGTATGCAAGCGAACGTCCTCCTCAAGATCGTACGGCAAGCCCGTGACGAGAGCCATGGTCTGATCGTGGAGTGCGTCCATGCGCTCCTCCAAGGCGCCCCGCCACTGGAAGAGCTTGTCCTTCAGAACCTTCCGGAAGTCCCAAAAACTTGGCAATCCTCGGAACGCTTGCGTGGGCCAGGAGCACGTGCGGGACATGCCCACGAAAGCGAGGCCAACGTTGGCCACGGGCTGCGTGCTCGGGTGGTGGGCGAAGTCGACACCCCGCCGGCTGGGAAAGTGAGCCCTTGGCTTTTGTGGATGGTGATCCCCCATGCCAGGACAAGCGGCAGTTGGAGTCGCTCCCATCCCTTCATTCTCTTGTGCCTCGCTGTAATGGGCGCAATGGGAACCCACGTCGGATGCCCGGGGTAAATCAGAGGGCCCCTGTACTTCGGAATGTCCACCACAACATACGCCACGTCTGAGGCCGACACTGCCCCTCGCAGGTCCGCATCTGCCTGGGCGCGGGCAAGCACGGCGCCGACGAGTGTGCCAGTTGCCCCATTCACCAAGCCAGCTGGCGTTCGCAGATTGGAGATGAGCATCACCGGGCAGCCTTGGACAAGATGGATCACCCTGCGAAGCTGGCCGAACGTGTCGCATGGCTGCCGTGATGCCGCTGCCGTGTTGTCCTTAGAAGCAACTCTGAGGACGTGCCTGTGCTCCGTGTCGGCCAGGCGGGCGGCCATGAGCCCATTGCGCTCCCCAGCGCCCGCGTTCTCGGCGAACAGGTGCGTGGCGCCTTCGAAGCTGGAGCGCTCCGCCGCGGATAGCGTGCGTGCGTCGGCGGCAAGGTCATGGGTGCTCCAAAGGGCGTGGTCCTCCTTCGTCATGGCCCCGTCACGGAGCCGAATCAGGCTCTCCTTGTACTGCGATGCCCCGGGCTGGCGGTGGATCCTGCGCAAGCGCACCACGGTGGTGAAGCTGCGGAACAATCGCAAGCCGAGGTTGGCGGACGCACCTCTCAACACACTCGGGCACAGCAGGGAGACATGCTCAGCCTTGGTGGGGGGCAGCTGGCCGAAGTCCCCCGCGAGAATGGCGCCGACTCCGCCGAAGGCGGCCTCCTTGCGGAGATGCTTCCGGCACGCCCGCCATTCCTTCAGGCGCCTGTCAACGCCGGCCAACATCGGCCGAGACACCATCGAGACCTCATCAATGACCAGGAGACGCAAGCCATCCAGGTCCTCAGCGAGCTGTTCCAAGTCCTTGCCGTTCAGAGGCGCGAGCTCGCCAGAAGTTGCGTTCACCTTGGAAAGCTGGAACAGGTCGTGGAGCGTGCGGGCGCCGCCGCCGACGTTGCTGGCGGCGACTCCAGTGAACGCGGCAACAACTACCTTGCCGAAGCTGGCGCCTCGCTGTCGCAGGCACGCCAACACTGCCTGCAAGGTGGTCGTTTTGCCAGTGTCCGCCGTGCCGAGGAGCATGGCAAACAGCTCGCCGGACGGCGCACTCGCCCACGACAGCACTATGTCAGCAAAAGCGCGCTGCGTTGGGTCCAAGTCGTCCAAGCCTACGGGTGCCTCCTGTGCGGCCGCCGGATTCGGGTGCTCGCGCATGGCAGCGGCGTAGTCTGCAGCTGAGGCGCCGCCCTCCCTGGCGGGCTTCACCCAAGAGAGGCTGGCGTCGGTGTTGGCGAAGTCGGAAGCGCGGCCAATGCCCTGTCTCTTGACCAAGTGCTCGACCGGCCACAAAGCATCCCACTCGGACTTGGTGCCTTTGTCGGGGCATTCAAGAGCCTCGTCGTCCTCGGGCACGGGCACCTCGAACCCCAGTTGCGCGCCGGCGCCGCCCATGCTCTGCTCATAAGCAGCACTGCGCACAAAAGTGCGGGCGACTTGCCGATCACGCGCATTCTCAGCGTCCTCTGGCGCCAGCTGCCAGGCCGAAGGTGCCGTCACGGGCTCGCGCCAGCGCCCGTCCCTCTCCGGCTCGTGGGGGCCCGCGGGCCTCGAGTGGGGAGCAGAGAAGTACACCCTCCGCGACGGCGCGGCGACCGCGTGCAGCCCGCGCTCTCCGAGCACCACGCGTTTGAAGGAATTCCACAACGGTGCAAACGGCTTGGCCGGGGCCAGCGCCTTGGCGGCCTCTGCGTGAGCAGCGCTCTTGTGGTAGTCCCGCCACGCCTGGGCTGCGTTGTCGAGGGCGTACTTGGGCAGGCCCTTCTTGTTCATGACGCCCCGCTTGTTCCGGGAGAAATCTTCCAGATCGACGGAAAGAATGTGCAGAACGAGCACCTCGACCAGAGCAGTGCGCGTGCGTGGCAGCGGGCCGTCGACGGCCTGCAGCGCCGTCAACGTGTCTCTGAGGCACCCCTGATGGGGCTTCGCCCGCGCGTGCTGCAGAGCCTCCCTCACAGACCAAGCCGGGTTGTTGGGGTCGCGGTCCCAGAGGAGCCCACGGGCGCGCACCGCATTGACCTTGGCTGCTGCCGTCGCGGCTGCAGCGGAGGAGCGCCTGGGAGGTACCTCGTTTGCCGGGGGAGGCGGCGGCTCCGCCGGGGCAGTGCCGGGGCCGGCGCCTCGGGTAGTTGTCCGCGCCCGCCGGTCACGGTTACGATGCTGGAAGCGCTTGCGAAACCACCGTGGTGCGCCGGGGCTCTGAACGAATCCGCCAGCCCAGCGGGCCAGAGGCGCGCGAAGATCTCCGGGATTTTTTTTCTTCAGCTCCGCGAGAAGAACCGACGAACGGCGAGCGAAGGGCCCACGAGAGGGACCGAAGGGGGACGAGGGACGGCAAACCCAGGACCCAAGACGAGGCCGAACGAAAGGACCGACCGAGAAACAGGGGTCGAAAAACACGAGGGGCCACAGTCCGCACGGGCTCCAAGTGCAAGCTATCGTGTCCTGGCCGCGTGGCCGATGAGAGGCCGGCGGGGCTAACGTCACAGCATCTCCCCGGGGCATGCATGCGGTTTGGTCGGGCCCAGCTCTGCGTGTCCCCTACACGCGTTCACGTTGCGCGCGCGGGGCGGCTCTTGGGGGGCCCCTGGACCAGAATTGCCCCGGGGGACTGTCGGGCGACTCCTGGGACACTCCCAGGACACTCCCGGGCAACTCGGGTCAGAGATTTTTTTTTGTCTTGGGCCAGAGGCCCCAGACCGCTCCCCAGGGGTCCCCAGAACCCGCCGAGAAGACCCCCAGGGACACCCAGGACGAGGACCCTGGCCCACAACCAAGGGACGGCCCGAAGACGGCCCAGGAGGCTTCCCATGGGGGCCGGCGGAATGCGCGAAACGAGAAAATGACTCCAACTGCTGTATGGCGCCCTGGTCGCCGAGAGTCATGGGGTCCTGTCGGAGGAAGGCGGTGTGCGACATTTGAAACTGAGGGTCCGTTCCCGAGACCTGCCGGGGTCCCAGACCCCCATCCGGGGTCGAAGCGCACCAGTCGGCCGCGCTGCGTCCAACCGCGGCGACGAGGCCCATCCCCCCAGGAGGCCAACGACCAGTGCCGGCGTGGAGGCCAACGAATTCTTGGACCTGGGGCCCGAGCGCGACAAGTTCCCGTGCTGCGTCCAGCCGCGGGGACGAGGGGGCGCTGCGTCCAGCCGTGGGGACGAGGGGCTCCCCCGGAGGCCAGGTGCCAGTGTCGCAAACAGCCCTCCTCTGATCCTCAGCGTAGCCCTGCCAAGGCCGGAGCATGCGAAGCGACATCTTCGCGTGCTTCGCCGCCGTCGGCTTCGTGACGTCGAGCTGCAAGTAAGGCTTCAAGTTCATGACGCGCGGCCTTCCGCGGCGAGCGCGCAGAGCTCCCTGGCGGTCTTGGTCAACCTCGGCACTGAAGCGCAACAACGTGTAGTGGGAGAGCGCCGCGTGCAGCTGCGGGGGGTGGCAAACCATATCCATCCGGTTGCAGTACCGGGCGACGACAGTGGTCTTGGTGATCTTGGGGGCCTCGTCGCCGGCGTCCTCTCGGAGCAGGGCGGTGCGAGACACTGGCAGCTCAAAGTGGGCCCCTGGACCCCTCACGGGGCCCTCGAAGCATCAGTCCCCCGTGCTGCGTCCAGCCGTTGCAACGAGGAGGCTCCCCGAAGGCCAACCACCAGAGTCTCATGCCGACCTCCTCAGGTCCTCCCCCCCTGCCGGGCCCTGCTGCTGCTGAGGTTTGACCTCGGCGGGCTGCTTGACGCCGGTCAAACCGTCCATATTGAGGCCCCGGAAGTAGCGCGAAGAAACCGCACGGGGCAACCCCCAGAGGATATGCCACGCCTCCAAGCAACACAGAGACTCAGGCACGGCAGTCGCGATGAAGGCCTTGGCCAAGAGGGAGGCCACAGTCATCGTCTTCCCCTCAGGAACACGTGTCACGATGTCGTCGAGCAGCGACGCGATCCTCGCAGAAACAGACATTCCGGCTCCGTACTTCGTGATGTACTTGCAGACGTAATCAGCGACGCCCTTGGCCGTCAGAATGGGCTGCCCGTCAGTGTTGGCTCCAAGCGCAATTGCCAGAGCCACGATGTGACTGTTGACGTGGGCACAATTTCTGGGCAAGTGCAGCCGCCGCAGGCCCTTGCGGCGCTCGTCCTCGAGTATGGCCGCATCTCCTGTGCGGATCCGGGCCTTCTCGAAGTGCTTGCCGCAGTAGTAGCTCGGGCCTCCCTCGTTGTGCTCAGTGTGAGGCTCGATTTTGGCGCAAGCCTCGCACCTGGCCGGTCTGCGGGCTATGCCCCGGGCCCCCACGCGAGCTCGCACCCCGGCTCGCAAAGGCTGTCCGACGGCCTGGATTCTCTTCCTCCGCTGAGTCTCCCGAGCCTGTGCGAGTCGCACTGCGCACTGCGCTCCTCGGTGGTCTGAGAGCACTGTGTCGTGAAGAACGAACGTGCCCTCGCAAAGCTGCAGGCTCTGGCCCCGCGGCCCTGCCCGATGCGATGCGGCCTGGCGCCCCTGCAAGAAAATCCGGTCGAAACGCTGCGGCGCTGCCCGGGCCGCGGCCGGTGCGTCGCGCCCAGGAGGAGGGCCCTGGTCGGGCGCGGCCAAGCCGACCCCTGGCGAACCGTGCCTTTCCGCGTCGCCCCCCTCGGCGCACACGTGCGCCGTGGAGCGGCGCGAGGGGGGCGTCGCGGAAGGGTATGGTTTGCTAGGGGTCGGTTTGGCCGCCCCTGGCCTGGGGGCCCAGCCATGTCCACCGTTGGTCTTGTGGCGACCCGGCGAGCTCCCAGACGTCTTCGCCGAGCCCTCGGACTTGCAACGCTGCAATGTTCTCGTCTCTGCGCAGGTTGCAGTCAGCGGCGAACACGGCAGCGTCCGCGCCAGGGTCGCGAAGCAGGTCCACGACTTCACCCAGCTGCGCGCGGCGAGCGTCCGACAGGTCAGCCCCAGACTCCAAGTGGGCAGTCGCCACCAGCATCACCAAGTGCGTGTCGCGTTCACGGAGACGAACCGTCAAGAGCACCCGCTGTTGGTCAGATGGTAAATTGTGCAACCGGGTCGCGCAGACCTCGAACATCGATGTGCGCACTGCGATGACGACGCCGTGGCCCTCAGCATCCCAGGCGCCCCCACATGTCGTCGGGGTAATCACGTCGAACGCGTCTTGCAGCTGAGCTTGCAACCACGCTGCGGACGCGGAGGTGGCCTCTTGCAGGCACAGGACGTCCGACTCGTTGGCAGCCGACACGACAAAAGAACACTCGGTTGCCAAATTTGTATTCCAGGACAGCACCCGCACTTCAGTACAGACGCCGTCCCCCCCCTTCAGGTCAGGCCCGTCGCGCCCACTATCCGACGAATCCGTGGCAGGGTCATCGCCGAAAACAGGCTGCAGCGTCACCGGCTCGCCAGAGTGGCGGTCGTGCATGTGGGTCTTGGTGAGGAGGGCTGCGTAGTACCACCGGCGCATGCGTCGCACGAGCACCGAACGCGACGTGAGCAGCATCCGTTTTAGATCCATCGGCAGAGAACTGGGGTGCCACGTCGGGTCCTGCAGCAGAGCACGGAGGCGGGCCATGCCGGCCGTCTCCGCTGCGGTGGGCGGTTCCTCAGCGGCCGCTCCCGCGCCACAGCCATCGTGGTCAGAGTCAGAAGCATCCGTGACGGGGACGGGACCATACTCTGTCGCTGGGTTTTCGGGAGTGAGGTCTTCGTCGAATCCACCTGCAGTATCCCAATGGTCGAGCCGGGAAGGGTTCCACTCGGATAGCTCGGCGCCGTGCTGCCAAGCCATGGCCCTCGCATCCTCGCGGCGCTGCGTCTGCGGGACGTCCCCCTGCAGGTAGTCGTAGCGGCCGAAGCCAGGGAATCGCCACCCAAGCATGTGCATGTGCAGGATGCCGCCAGAGCCCCACTCAAAGACACCGAACAAGTCGTCGTAAGCGAGCACGTACGACGCGTACAAGTGCAGCTTCAGCGCGCAGAACCACGCCACCACGCCAGGGTGCTGCAGGACTCGCCGCTTCCCGTCTGTCAACGCCCCCTCGCCGGGTTCCAGGGGGTCACAGCGGCCATGTCGATAGGAGGTCGTCTGAGTCTCAAACTCGTCGAGCACATGCGCCAAGTCCGACCAGTGGTATATGGCAGTAGTGAGCGTGATAAAGTGCGCGGGAATGCACCCACCTTGTTCCGCATCTCTGCGGTACCGGGCGTGCTGTTCGATGGCCTCCTGAAAAGAATGCAGTAGCGGAGCTCGCTCAGCGAGGAGGTCCGCCGCGCTGCGCTGGACCGTGGCGGCAGCGCCGGCCTCCCCGGCTAGGGGCATGCCCGGCGGCGCCGGGGCCTGCGGGGCAGCGGGCCACTGTGCGAGTTCACGCCGAGCCTGCCGCAGGGCCTGCTCGACCGCCTCGTCCGACTGGTTCCCAGAAGCGCTCAGGTAGTCCCGGTGCCACCGGTCCACGGTGTTGGTCAGAGTGGTCAAGCTGGCACTGCGAGAAGGCATTTGCTCCGCAGCCTGCTGCGCGCTCTCTTCCTCGAGCTGGTTAAGCATGGACTCGAGGTCAGGCCGCTGCGACAGCTTCTCGGCCGCAGATCCAGGAAGATTCGTCTCGTAGGCGCACAGGACGCGGGTCATGCCAGCTTTGCCCATGTGAAGAAGCTGCTGCGGCGCGTACTCTTGGTACGCCTGGTCCCCGTAGGACTGCTTCACAACAACTTTTACCGCGGACAGCCTTATTGCGCAGCAGCGTGTTCACGGCGAAGTAGAAGAAGCGGGGGTGGCGCAATGCCCGGCCATCTCGCCCTCGCAGGACATGCTGGACCCATGCATGCAAGGAGACTGGCAGACCTCGCTCTCTGCGGGCCCTCTCGTAAGCCCAGAAGTCGCCTTCCCCCGTCTGGAAGATCTTCACGAAGGCCGCGCTGATGTACCAAGGCGTGTCCTCTCGCACCAGCTGTCGCGTGTCGGCCAAAGCAGGAGGGTCCAGAATTGGGGCGCCTTTGGCCCGCGCTGCTTGGAAACGCTCCCAAATGCCACGCTCTCTACGGTCCATGTTGGCGGTGTCGAAGGTCTCGTCCGCTTGTCTCTCCGGAGGCCGCGGCTCCGTGCGCCCTTCGGCGGCGCTCTGAGGGGGGCAGGGGCAGGGGGGGGGGCTCCGTAGAAGGCAGGGTGCTTCGTAGAAGCCCTGGGAAGGTTTCGAAAGAGCACCGAGCATTCTACGAAACCCTCCCCAATCCCCCCGCCCACGCCATAGCGCCGCCGAGTCCTGCCGCCGGCTGCGGCGGAGCCTGCTGCCGGTCAGGAGCAAGGCGTACAGGCGCGGTCGGTCGCGGAGGCGCGGCAGCGGCCGTCCCCGCAGCCGCCTGCAAGGGCGGAGTCTGCTCAGCGAGGCCCCCGTGTTCCTCGACCAGCTCCTCCCAAAACTCATCGAGGAGCTCCTCCTCGGAGCGCTTGGCGCCAGGGTTCTCCGGGTCCCACGTTCCGGAATGCTCGGCGGCATTGTGCCGGAGGGCGTCCACCTCCTGGACCGCAGTGAGCTCGTCTCGGAGCACGTGCAGGACGTCGGCGTTGTCCTCCCACCCGGACCACCGTGCCCACGTTCGCAGCCAGCATGCCAGGGCCGTGTCGCTCAACACCTTGGCGTCGGCACTGGGCGGCGGCTCCTGGTCGACAGCAGGGGGTGGAGGGCGGGCGCCATCGGGGCTCCTGTCGGGAGTCATGTCCTGGCCATCGCGAGCAGGCGGCTGTCGTTGGAGCATGGCGTCACGCGCGAATTTGCACAGCCACGGCCATGCCCGCTCCTCCCAGGAATGCTCGGCATCGGCGTCGGATCGCGGGTCCGGCGGGGGGATGCCATCCAAGAAGTGGCGCACCTGGCCGTTGAGTTGGAGCTCCAAGTTGAGGGCCGTCCATTTCCCAAGCAGGGCTTTGTCGAGGTAGAGCGGCCCGTGCTGCTCGACCACTTTGACCTCCATGCCTTCTGGTTCCCTGCCCGTGTCGTCGTACGCGCTCAAGTTGTCCCAGTTCACAGGCGCGAGGCCATTGCGCACGAGGCGATTGCGTTGGAAGGCGCGATGCCCACCCTGATCCTCCGGCTTCAGGAGCTGTTGCAACGCTGCCTCCAGTCGCTGGCGGCTGACAACAAAGGGGGCCCGCTGCTTCCGCTGGGGATCCTTCGGGAAACGGCGGACGAGCAGAATCTTGGCGTCACCCGCCTTCAAGGGAATGGCGCGAACAAGCTCAGGCCCATTCTGGACCCAGTTCGCGACGTGACCACGTGCCTCAGTGAGCCCAGTGCCATACAGAGTGAAGATGCGCACCACGGGCTGGATCGGAGACAGCAGCTGCTCTTCGAAGTAGGTCAGGGCGTCGAGCGCCTCGTGAGTGCGCCCAAACGTCATGTCGTTGAACGACGTGAGCAGCCGAGGCGTGGTCGGGGGAGAGTCGCCGATGTCGGCCGCCCTGCGCGCTGCTGCCTGCACGTCCTGGGAGCACTGCACGGACATTGGCCTCCGCGGGTCCAGCCACTCCTCCTCGTCCGCGAGGATGAAGTTCATGTACTTATCCTGGATGTCGGTAGTGGAAGAGCCAGCAGGCGGACGCCGCGTCGTGCCCCACCATCCTCTCTCGCAGTAGTCGCAAGCAGAGAACCGCAGCGACTGGAGGTAGTCGTCCACCTCCGCCGCCCGCTGGAAAACAGCGTCCCTGCGCGCAGCAGCGGTCGAGGAGGCACCGTGCAGCATGCGCTCGCTCTCAGGAAGACGCCGTTGATTGCGGCCGGGGATGGCGGACAAGAGTGCGCGCCGCTGCTGCGAGGCCGCCTGTTCGGCTCTTGACTTGGCGGCGCGCTTGTCGCGCTGCCTCTCCTCCCGCTGTCGGAGGCGCTCCCCCGGCGAAGCCTGGCGCCATGCCGCGAACGCGTTGAACCCTGGGAGCTCAGCGAAGACCGCCTCGTCCTCCGGAGAGAGGTCACCCGCGACATAAGCAGGCATGATGTTCCGCCAGTAGCGGGCCAGCCGGCACTCCTCCTCGGTGGCCCCGGCCGATTCGCCCGGCATGCGCTGGCACCCGGCACGGCGCTGCCAGGCAGCGGTGTCCCTGGCGAGACGGGCAGCGGCACTGTCTTGGCTGGCCGCAAAGCCCGGGAGGCGCTCGAAAGCTTGGCGGTCGTCGTCGGGGAGATCGCCAGCGTGGTACGCAGGCATGATGTTCCGAAACCTGTACGCCAGCCTGCGTTCCTCCTCGGTGGCGCCAGTCGATTCGCCCGGCATGCGCTGGCACCCGACGCGCGCCTGCCAAGCAGCAGTGTCCCTGGCGAGACGGGCGGCGGCACTTTCCAGGCTGGCCGCAAAGCCCGGGAGGCGCTCGAAAGCTTGGCGGTTGTCGTCGGGGAGATCGCCAGCGTGGTACGCAAGCATGAAGTTCCGCAACCTGTGGGCCAACTTGCGTTCCTCCTCGGTCGCGCCAGTCGATTCGCCCGGCATGCGCTGGCACCCGACGCGCGCCTGCCAAGCAGCAGTGTCCCTGGCGAGACGGGCGGCGGCACTTTCCAGGCTGGCCGCAAAGCCCGGGAGGCGCTCGAAAGCTTGGCGGTCGTCGTCGGGGAGATCGCCAGCGTGGTACGCAAGCATGAAGTTCCGCAACCTGTGGGCCAACCTGCGTTCCTCCTCGGTGGCGCCAGTCGATTCGCCCGGCATGCGCTGGCACCCGACGCGCGCCTGCCAAGCAGCAGTGTCCCTGGCGAGACGGGCGGCGGCACTTTCCAGGCTGGCCGCAAAGCCCGGGAGGCGTTCCAAAGTTTGGCGGTCCTCGTCGGGGAGATCGCCAGCGTGGTACGCAGGCATGATGTTCCGAAGCCTGTACGCCAGCCTGCGTTCCTCCTCGGTGGCGCCAGTCGATTCGCCCGGCATGCGCTGGCACCCAGCACGCTCCTGCCACGCAGCGGTTTCCCTGGCGAGGCGACGTGCTAAACTGGCAGTCCCGGTTGGCAGGTTCGCGCCCACACCTGGGATCTCCCGGAGGACTAGGAACACTTCGTCTGCCACGTCGTTTTTCTTCGCAAGGCCGATGACCGTGCTCAGTCGCTTAGCCAGCGCCTGTCGGCGGCGCGCCGGGGGGGCCAGGGGGAGGGGGGAGGGTCTCGCGAAGGCGGGGTGCTTCCGAGAAGCCGTCGGAGGCTTTGGAAAATCCCTGGGGGGGGCTCCGAGGAAGACCCCTGCCTTCTGTGAAGCCCTCCCCCCTCCCCGTGGCCCCCATCGGTCCGCCGCCAGACCTTTTCAGCAGGCGCTGCTGCCTTGGACTGCGTTGGTGCACGCATCGTTTTGTTCTTTTTCTGGCAGTCCCGGACGTCATTGGCAAGCGCGCGGGCCTGATGAGGAGCGCCGGGCGCCATGACGGCCGTGCCTCGTCACGGACCGAAGCCGAACTCGTGGGTGGAGCCAATGCCCTACGGAACGCCCACAGGCAAGAACGTACGGAACGCCCACAGGGATTAGCCTGTTTTGTGGTTCGTGGGCGGGTGACCACAGCGTTCTGGGCACACGAAGAACACGAAGTGGCCTACAGTTGGCTTCGGGCATTCAAAATGTGGCCCGGGAATGGAATTTGGGGATCTCGAAGAGCACGAAGTGGCCTACCGTTCGCTCTGGGCGTTGGGTAGGCAATGAACGTCAATGACCAGCCTTTGGGTCGCGCCTTCCCGAGGCGAGCCTGAGGAAGGCGCGGCCTTACCCTTTGGGGCGGAACGGCGGAGCCGCTTACATAACTAAACGCAATTGTATGAAGCCGTGGGCCCCGAGCACATTTACTTCCTCCAGCAACCGGCAGATCTCGCCAGACTACCGCCAGGAATGCAAGGTCGGTCCCCAGAATGGAAATGCGTCAAATGCACTAACTTAAAGCGGGCGCGTTACGTTAGGAGGAGGGATCAAGGAGAGGAGGCTGGCGAGGGGGGGGCTGTGCCCATCCGAGGGAACGGGGCAGCCCCCCCCCGCCCCAAAAAATGTTTGGGCCCCCCAGGGCCCCCCCCCGCTCCACGAATCCCATTGGGGGGTCGAGATCCCCGCTCTGCAGTGGGATTCGCGGAACGGGGCGCCCCCCAGGTGCCTCTTATCTTCGCGCTGGCGCCGGCAGTGTGCACCTGAGGGAGCGTGGGTTGAAGTGAGTGAGGGATCAGGAAGGATGTGGAGGGGCGTTCCGCTCTGAAGCGTCCTCACAATCTGGCAAAACCGCAACCCCTCCCCGGGGGCACCGCGCGTGCTGGACCAGGCACATGCGTCGCCCTAAGTCGGCGCGCACATATGGGAGGCCCATGTCTGTCCACCGAGAAGACCACGGAGAACCCACCAAGAAAACCTGTCCCCCCGGAAGGTCCGACATGGCGAGCAGGAGGCCCGAATAATTCGTCCTAGGGGCTCCCCAGAAGGGCGCGCGCAGCCTTCCTCAAAGCCCTCGTGTGCACGACCTTGGCCGAAGGCTATCAGATATGCAAATACAATAGTTCATGCAGGAATCCTTCCCTTGACCGCCCTCCGCGGCCGGGCGCAGGCGCGGCCGGTCGGGGCAGCCGGCCGGGGCAGCCGGCCAGGGCAGCCGGCCGCCCTCCCCTCCTCGTCCTTCTCCTCCTTCCCTCCTCCTCCTGGTGGTCCTCCCCCTCCTCGTCCTCCTCCTCCTCCTGGTCATCCTCCTCCTCCTGCTCGTCCTCCTCGTCCTCCTCCTCGTGCTCGTCCTCGTGCTTCTCCTGCTTGTCCTCCTTTTCCTGCTCCCCCTCCTTTTCCTTCTCGTGTTCGTGCTCGTCCTCGTCCTCCTCGTCTTGCTCGTCCTCCTCCTCCTCGTGCTCTCCTCCAACTGCCATGAAGCAAGTTTGTGCGAGCGTACCCGGGGCGTCGCAGATCGCAACCTGTGGAGGACGCACATGATGAACGGTCTACAAGCTCAACAGGCGTAGCGTCGAACTCGGGCTCAAAACTCACTAGTTGTTGATCGTGATGTACGGCGCAGGGGCATTCGCGGCGCCGTCCTCGACGTCCGCCTCTGCCTCTCGGGCCTTCGCGTCGGGAGCGCCGACGCAGCGCTCGTAGACGCAGCCGAACGTCAGGATGACGACCCCGAGGAAGAACCAGAGCAAGCACAGGTCGAAGTACCGCTCCCACGCAAACCAATTCAGCAAGACGGGAAAAAAGGTGAAGACGCCCGCGGCGAGAATTACAAATATGCCCAACGAGATGCCAGACGCGCCATAGTCGCAGTGGCAGTTGATGGGGCACGCCATGCTCGCCTCAGGCGGCCGCGCCCAGTGCCGAAGCGCGCGGGGAGCCGGAACCCAAAAGTCGGAGCTGTCGAGCCACGCTTGAGCCAAAATGGCTTGGGCCAAAATGGCTACGGAGGCCTCTTGGGGGCTTCTTGGGGCCTTCTGTGTGCCTCTTAGGGCGGAAAGCTGGAATTTTCGGTTCGTGGCCCCTTTCTTGGGCCTCTCTTGGAACCGTCTTGGGGCTCTTTTGGGCCGTCTTGGGCGCCTCTTGGGCCGTCTTGGGCCTCTCTTGGGCCGTCTTGGGCCCTCTTGGGGGCCTCTTGGGCGGTTTTGGGGCAGTCTTGGAGGCCTCTGCCCAACAAGATGCCAGACACGCCATAGTCGCAGTGGCAGTTGATGGGGCACGCCATGCTCGCCTCAGGCGGCCGCGCCCAGTGCCGAAGCGCGCGGGGGGCCGGAACCCAAAAGTCGGAGCTGTCGAGCCACGCTTGAGCCAAAATGGCTTGAGCCAAAATGGCTACGGAGGCCTCTTGGGGGCTTCTTGGGGCCTTCTGTGGGCCTCTTAGGGCGGAAAGCTGGAATTTTCGGTTCGTGGCCCCTCTCTTGGGCCTCTCTTGGAACCGTCTTGGGGCTCTTTTGGGCCGTCTGGGGCGCCTTTTGGGCCGTCTTGGGCCTCTCTTGGGCCGTCTTGGGCCCTCTTGGGGGCCTCTTGGGCGGTTTTGGGGCAGTCTTGGAGGCCTCTGCCCAACAAGATGCCAGACACGCCATAGTCGCAGTGGCAGTTGATGGGGCACGCCATGCTCGCCTCAGGCGGCCGCGCCCGAATCCCAAGCGGCCTCGAAGAAACTCCCCAAATTATGCTATCGGAGTTCCCCAAAGTAAACTTTGATTGACTCGCGGGCTTACGGAAAACACTTTCGCCGTCCTCGCTCTGGCCGGGCCTCCCTGGAGGAGGGGAAGGGGCACGAATCCTGACCAGTTGGAAAGGGAAGCCGAGGAGGGCGCCGGTTTGGGATTCGTCGGCGGATCCACCGGATCCAGCGGATCCGTCCGGAAACGGTGCCGGAGGCCGCTCTGGGCTCCTCTGGGCACCTCCCCCGGGGCCCGTTTTGTGAGGATGTCTCAAGCGAGGGCGCCGGTTTGGGATTCGTCGGCGGATCCACCGGATCCAGCGGATCTGTCCGGAAACGGTGCCGGAGGCCGCTCTGGGCTCCTCTGGGCATCTCCCCCGGGGCCGGTTTTGTGAGGATGTCTCAAGCGAGGGCGCCGGTTTGGGATTCGTCGGCGGATCCACCGGATCCAGCGGATCTGTCCGGAAACGGTGCCGGAGGCCGCTCTGGGCTCATGGGCACCTCCCCCCGGGCCGGTTTTGTGAGGATGTCTCAAGCGAGGGCGCCGGGGTGGGATTCGTCGGCGGATCCACCGGATCTTTTCCTCCTGGTGGTCCTCCCCCTCCTCGTCCTCCTCCTCCTCCTGGTCATCCTCCTCCTCCTGCTCGTCCTCCTCGTCCTCCTCCTCGTGCTCGTCCTCGTGCTTCTCCTGCTTGTCCTCCTTTTCCTGCTCCCCCTCCTTTTCCTTCTCGTGCTCGTGCTCGTCCTCGCCCTCCTCGTCTTGCTCGTCCTCCTCCTCCTCGCGCTCTCCTCCAACTGCCATAAAGCAAGTTTGTACGAGCGTACCCGGGGCAACGCAGATCGCAACATGTGGAGGACACACATGATGAACGGTCTACAAGCTCAACAGGCGTAGCGTCGAACTCGGGCTCAAAACTCACTAGTTGTCGATCATGATGTACGGCGCAGGGGCATTCACGGCGCCGTCCTCGACGTCCGCCTCTGCCTCTCGGGCCTTCGCGTCGGGAGCGCCGACGCAGCACTCGTAGACGCAGCCGAACGTCAGGATGACGACCCCGAGGAAGAACCAGAGCAAGCACAGGTCGAAGTACCACTCCCACGCAAACCAATTCAGCAAGACGGGAAAAAAGGTGAAGACGCCCGCGGCGAGAATTACAAATATGCCCAACAAGATGCCAGACACGCCATAGTCGCAGTGGCAGTTGATGGGGCACGCCACGCTCGCCTCAGGCGGCCGCGCCCAGTGCCGAAGCGCGCGGGGGGCCGGAACCCAAAAGTCGGAGCTGTCGAGCCACGCTTGAGCCAAAATGGCTTGAGCCAAAATGGCTACGGAGGCCTATTGGGGGCTTCTTGGGGCCTTCTGTGTGCCTCTTAGGGCTGAAAGCTGGAATTTTCAGTTCGTGGCCCCTTTCTTGGGCCTCTCTTGGAACCGTCTTGGGGCTCTTTTGGGCCGTCTTGGGCGCCTATTGGGCCGTCTTGGGCCTCTCTTGGGCCGTCTTGGGCCCTCTTGGGGGCCTCTTGGGCGGTTTTGGGGCAGTCTTGGAGGCCTCTGACCAAAAAGATGCCAGCCACGCCATAGTTCGCAGGGCAGTTTGATGGGCACATTGCTATGCTTCTCCTCACTCGTCCGCGCCCAGTGGCCGATTTCTCTCTTGTTAGTACGAACCCAAAATTCGGCCTTTTTTTTTTTTTTTTTTTTTTTTTTTTTTTTTTTTTTTGTTTTTTTGTTGTGTGGGTTGTTTTTTTTTTTTTGTGTTTTGTGTGTTGTGTGGGGTTTTTTTTTCTTTTGTGTGGGTTTCTTTGGTGCTTTTGGGTTTGTCAAGAAGGGGAGGTGTCGAGCACGCTTGTGGGAAGCTTAACTTGATCAAAATGGCTACGGAGGCCTCTTGGGGGCTTCTTGGTGCTTTCTGTGGGCCTCTTAGGGCGGAAAGCTGGAATTTTCGGTTCGTGGCCCCTCTCTTGGGCCTCTCTTGGAACCGTCTTGGGGCTCTTTTGGGCCGTCTTGGGCGCCTTTTGGGCCGTCTTGGGCCTCTCTTGGGCCGTCTTGGGCCCTCTTGGGGGCCTCTTGGGCGGTTTTGGGGCCGTCTTGGAGGACTCTGACCAAAAAAGCTGCAGACACGCCATAGTCGCAGTGGCAGTTGATGGGGCACGCCATGCTCGCCTCAGGCGGCCGCGCCCGAATCCCAAGCGGCCTCGAAGAAACTCCCCAAATTATGCTATCGGAGTTCCCCAAAGTAAACTTTGACTGACTCGCGGGCTTACGGAAAACACTTTCGCCGTCCTCGCTCTGGC